TTCAAAGTCAAAGCCACCACAAAGGATAAGAAAGGACATTATATAATGATTAAAGGGTCAATACACCAGGAGGACATAACCATAATAAATATTTACACACCCAACAACAGGGCTCCAAAATACATAAAACAAACTCTAACAGCATAGAAAAGAGAGATAGACAGCTCCACAATAATAATAGGAGACTTCAACGCATCACTTTCGGTGAAGGGCAGAAAGCTCGATGAAGACACGGAAGATCTAAATGCTATAATCAACCAACTTGATCTCATAGAACACTCCACCCAACTGCAGCCAAGTATACTTTCTTTTCCAACGCACATGGAACATTCTCCAGAACAGATCACATATTAGGTCATAAAGCAAGCCTTAACAGAATCCAAAGCATCGGAATATTACAAAGCATCTTTTCTGACAATAAAGCCATAAAAGTAGAAATCAATAATAGAAAAAGCAAGGGAAAAAAACAAAACACATGGAAACTGAACAACACTTTGCTCAAAAACTACTGGGTTATAGAGGAAATTAAGGATGGAATAAAGAAATTCATAGACTCAAACGAGAATGAAAACACTCCTACCAGAGCCTTTGGGACATAGCAAAACCAGTGCTCGGAGGTCAGTTTATAGCAATAAATGCACATATTCAAAAAGAAGAAAGGGCCAAAATCAAAACATTAACCCTTCAACTGAAACAAGTAGAAACAGAGCAGCAAAAGAAGCCCTCAGGCACCAGAAGAAAAGAAATAATAAGAATTAAGAATTGGAGCAGAATTAAATGAAACAGAGAAGAGAAAAACAATCGAAAGAGTTAACAAAAAAGCTGGTTCTTTGAAAAGATCCACAAAACTGATAAACCACTGGCCAAACTGACAAAAGAAAAACAGGAAAGGAAGCAAATAACCCATATAAGAAATGAGAAGGGTGGTATCAGAACAGACCCAACTGAAATTAAACGAATCATAACAAAATACTACGAAATATTGTACTCTATCAAATTCAAAAACCTAAAGGAAATGGACAAATTTCTAGAAACACACTACCTACCTAAACTAACACAAACAGAAGCAGAATAACTAAATAAACCTGTAACAAAAGAAGAAATTGACAAGGTAATTTAAAAACTCCCAACAACAACAACAAAAAAAACCTGGCCCAGATGGCTTCACTGGAGAATTCTACCAAATTTTCAGAGAAGAGTTAACACCACTACTACTAAAGCTATTTCAGAGCATAGAAAAGGACAGAATATTCCCAAACTCATTCTATGAAGCCAGCAATAACCCTGATACCAAAACCACGCAAAGACACCACAATGAAAGAAAATCACAGACCAATATCCCTCATGAACATTGACGCAAAAATCCTCAACAAAATTCTAGCCAATAGAATTCAGCAACATATCAAAAAAATAACTCGCCATGATCAAGTGGGATTTATACCACGTATGCAGGGATGGTTCAATATTAGAAAAACAATCAATATAATCCATCACATTAATAAAGCAAAAGACAAGAACTCCATGATCTTATCAATTGATGCAGAAAAGACATTTGACAAAGCCCAACATCCATTCATGATGAAAATTCTCAACAAAATAGGAATAGAAGGGAAATTCCTCTACATAATTAAGAGCATTTATACAAAGCCAACAGCCAACATCATCCTAAATGGAGAGACTTTGAAAGCATTCCCACTGAGAA